AATATTTGGTAAATCATGGTGTAAACAGATGTGCTGTCATCCAGGCTTTGTTGCTCCATTTACAGAGCACAGGTAGAGCAGATTTAGCACAATTCTTAAGGGTGCTAGGATTTTCAGAATGGTAAATGAGCATTGGCTTCAACTTAAAGTCACCAGTTGCATTAGTCCCGAACAAGAAAGTCAGCCTGTCTTTTGAAGCTTTGAAGCCAGGCATTGACTTCTCCTCTCTAGCTATGAAAGTCCTAGATGGCATCTTCTTCCAATATAAAGCTGTTTCCTCTACACTGAAAATCTGTTGTTTAGTGTAGCCACCCTCATCAATTATCTTAGCTAGATCTTCTGGATAACTTGATGCAGCTTCTTCATCAGCACTTGCTGCTTCACCTTGTACTTTTATGTTATGGAGACGACTTCTTTCCTTAAACCTCATGAACCAACCTCTGCTAGCTTCAAACTTTTCTTCAGCAGCTTTCTTACCTCTCTCAGCCTTCATAGAATTGGAGAGAGTTAGGGCCTTGCTCTGGATTACACGTTGGCTTAAGGGAATGTTATCGCTGGTTTGATCTTCTATCCAGACCACTAAACTTTCTCCATATGAGCAAGAAGGCTGTTTCACTTTTCTTATCATTGATGTGTTCACTGGAGAAGCACTTTTAATTTCCTTCAAGAACTTTTTCTTTGCATTCACAACTTGGCTAACCGTTTGGTGTAAGAGGCCTAGCTCTCTGCCTATCTCGGCTTTCAACGTGCCTTCCTCACTAAGCTTAATCATTTTTAGCTTTTGATGTAAAGTGAGAGTTGTGCAACTCTTCCTTTCACTTGAACACTTAGAGGCCATTGTAGGGTTATTAATTGGCCTAATTACAAATATTGGCGGTGTCTCAGGGAATAGGGACACCCAAGGAGAGGGAGAGAGATAGGGAAACAGCCAGTCCGTGGAACAGCCAGAACACACTCAACATTTATCGATTAAGTTCATCAACTTATATGGGCACACTTCGTGGTGCCCCAAAACAATTACAATAGTAACGTCAAAGATCACTGACCACAGATCATCTTAACAGATATAATGATAATGAAAAAGTTTGAAATACTGCAAGAGTTACCAAAATGTGACAGAGAGACACGAAGTGAGCACATGCTATTGGGAAAATGGTGCCAAGAGACTTGCTTGATGCAGGGTTGCCACAAACCTTCAATTTGTAAAAAAAAAAGCAATATCTGTGAAGCATAATAAAATGAAGTATGCCTGTAATACTTTACTTTGTCTTCTTGAGCCACCCTTTGAAATCTCCTGTTCAGCTCTTTTACTCCATCATTTCTTCCGTTCACTTTAGCTACTCTATATTCAAGCACAAGTTTCAGACTCTCTTCTGAAATCCATTTTGGTCTTTTTTTTCTTTTCTGTCTGTTTGATGACCTTATGCTTTCTTCATGTATGATGTCCTTGATGTCATTCCACAGCTCATTTGGTCTTCTATCATTAGTGTTCACTGCATCAAATCTATTCTTGAGATGGTCTCTAAATTCAGGTGGGATATACCTCAAGGTGGTACTTTGGCTCTCATGGGCTTGTTTTAATTTCTTCAGCTTCACATTGAACTTGCGTATGAGCAATTGTTGGTCTATTCCGCAGTTGGCCTCTGGCCTTATTCTAACCGACGATATTGAGCTTTCCTATTAGATTTGCTTTCCTAGTAGATTTGATTCCTCTGTATTCCATGTGGCAAAGTCCCTGTATAGTTGCTATTTATGTTGTTGAAAAAGGGTATTTCCAGTGAATAAGTTTTTGGTCTTGCAGAATTCTATCATGTGATCTCTGGCATTATTTCTGTCACCAAAGCCATATTTCCCAATGACCGATCCTTCTTTGTTTCCAACTTTTGCATTCCAATCACCAGTAATTATCAATATATCTTGATTGCAAGTTTGATCAATTTCAGATTGCAGAAGTTGGTAAAAATCTTCAATTTCTTCATCTTTGACATTAGTGGTTGGTGTGCAAATTTGAATAATAGTTGTATTAACTAGTCTTCCTTGTAGGTGTATGGATATTATCCTATCACTGACAGTCTTGTATTTCAGGATAGATCTTGAAATGTTCTTTTTAATGATGAATGTGACGCCATTCCTCTTCAATTTGTCATTCCCGGCATAGTAGACCATATGATTGTCTGATTCAGAATGGCCAATACCAGTCCATTTCAGCTCACTAGTACCAGGATATCAATCTTCAAGTGTTCCATTTCATTTTTGACAACTTCCAATTATCCTTGATTCGTACTGTGTATATTCCATATTCCAGTTATTAATTGATGTTTGCAGCTGTTTCTTCTCATTTTGCATAATAGTACCTACCTCAGATGTTGTGAAGAATAAATGATACAATACATGTAAGTTTAGAAATTGGGGAACTGGAAGGAACAACAACAACAAAATAAACCTAACAAAAGGCCAAGAGAATTGCTGACAAATAAGATACATCTCATTCCTTCTCCATGTTTAATGTCAATTTTTATATCTTGGCTAAGCGTATGTATTATAAAGCTAGTTGCTCAAGGTTATCCTCCCCCTACCCCGCCTCATCATCAGATGATTTTTATTTATAGCTATGTTGAAACATCATAAGCAACACTCAGACTCGCTGTATACTGAATTTGCCATCTGAACAAAGATTCTTTCTCAAAGCATATTTCTGGTTTTGCCAAGAAAGTAAAAGAACAATTCTTTTTGGTTTTCTTTTAAATTTTTGTTCCAAGTATTCCTTAGCTCTAGAATTGAGTCAGCCAAGTCAAATTAGTTAAGACCAGATTAATTAAACTTAATTGTCAAATCCATTGGTTATTTTGAGTGCTTCAGAGTAAGAAAACATTCCAGATTTCTTCTAAGGGACAAGATACTCGTTTCTTCTAAAGGAAAAGATATTTGGATTAATTTAGTTCCGTATTGTTTATAATCATGTATACTTTATTTCACGGCCTGAATGCTAATGAGAGCTTCCTAGAATTCATTCCTTAAGAAGTTAAGTCATGGCATCTAATTATTTGGCAGGATGCTTTAAGTACATATAATTATATCTTCTCTCCATTTTGTGGTGGTGGTGAGCCAAGTCATCTGCATCTAGAGAAAATAAGTAACACATTAATGCTACCAACAGGAGCTCAAAGTGCTTTGGAAAAAAGCACTCATTATAATCTTAGCACATAGTGAGTGCTCAATACTTTATCTGTCAAACTAATATCACCACCACCTTTTTAGGTAAGAGAACCCAAGCAAAGGGAAATGGATTGATCCCATTCCATATTTCAGTCCTTGGAAGGTCAGTTTTATGACTGTGATCAAGACCTTGCACTTGGTAGAATAAAGTTTTAAATCCTGACCACTACTTTGGGCAAATCCATTTTCTCTTCTGAGTGCCCAACTGCTTCTTGCCCTATCAGACAGGACTACTTCTCCCATAGGTACAGGGCAGTGGTAAAGAATAAGATGAGATAGCACACTGGGTATGGCTTTATAATCATTCCACATGGTCTTAACTCACTCTATCATTTTGGGATGTTAACTGCAAAACAAGGTCAGATTTTGGGCTAAAAGAGCTTTTTATCCAGCCTGGTAAATTAGCACGTGATAAGCCTTCTGGGGAATAGATCTGAGGGACTTTCTTCTGGGCACGCTGGCGGTAGGTACAAAGGGAAAGCAGAATTGCAATTTCCAGCTTGGGGAGGCTAAGCCAGTGGGCCTCGCCAAGCAGGTTGCCTTGGATGAGGGAGATTTTCAGTCCTGCCATTAGCTGATAGGAGCATCCAGGGCCTTCTTCAGCCTATTGATCGAGATGAGGCCCTCTGAGGCACAGAGCCAGCGCTCTGCCCAAGTACATCGTTCAGCCAGGTCCCCTGCAACTGGGGCTAGGGGTCTAGAAGACAGGAGACCAGGTTCAGCTCTTGCCTTGTCCTTTATGGTTGAATGTCCTTCGAAAAGCTTCTACCTCTCAGATCCTGGAGGCATCATAATCCCTCTTCTACCTATCCCCAAACCATTTGAAGCTAGTACTGTTGGGAGAATGCAAGCTCCACTAGGGCAGGGTACCTTGTTTGAATGACCCCTCTATCCTCAGGCATGCTATCTGGCACACAGTTGGCGCTCTACGGAGCCAAATATTTCTGTGAATGCAGGGACAATGGAATGTGCAAACGCTTCGTAAACACCAAAGAGATTCATAACCAGACCAAGGTCCGATTCTAGAGTATTCGAGATTGCTTTAAAAGCGAATTACAGCTGCTTCTACCACCACTGGGACGCGGTCAGGACCCGTGCGTCCCTCTAAAAAGGAGGCCTGGACGGCAGGGGCTGGGGAGGTCTCTTCTTCCCGGGGAAACCGGAGTCGGAGTCGGAGGCACACCTGGAGCAGGCGACGACGCGCGAGGCCGAGCGGGAGCGGGGCCCCAAGCCTTGGCCTCCGTCACTGAGCCCAACAGAACACCTAGGCCCAGGGACAGGTGTGTACCGGGGGAGTGGTGCGCAGTGCACCTGCGTCACTCCCCCGGCAGGTACACCCTCCTCCGCCTACGCGTGACCTAATTACAAGGGGCGGGCCACGCCCAGGGGCGGGGATGGGCCACGCGAACCAGGGTGCCACTCGGCGCCCCGTCCCTGCCCCCAAAGATGTGTGAATCCCATAAAATTCCAGTGCTGTTGCACCATGGAGGGGCCACGGGGTGCCATTCTCGTTTCCGTGATCTAGTTCCCAATCCTCAGGTGAAGAGCTGAATCTTTCTACCACGCCTGCCTCCACAAGTCAAAAGTCTGTTAGGAGGCCCCTCCCACCAGGACTGCGCCTGCGCGAGGCTCGCGGGGGCGTCTCGCAGGGCGTAGCGCTCTAGGATAATCCTCGTTCATAGCTATAGGCACTGCGCTTGCGCAGATTCGGTTTTTTCCTACCACCCCCACCTCCCGAGCCCTCCCTTCTGAGAGACCACGCCCAAAGCGAAGGTGCCTGTTATTAGCGGGCTAGGATGCGCCTGCGCGTTGGCCCCTAGTTTTCTTCCCCCTTACACGGCTCTTGCGGTAGACCAGCATCTGATATGCAGTTGCGCAGTTCGTGTCCTGGCGCTTTTTTCCCTCCGCACCTCACCGCCTCCTGACGCCGGGCGTGACGTCAGCACGCGGGGTGGCCGCCATTACAGAGAGCCGAGCTCCGGAGTTAGAGCGAGCGGAGGAGGAGCCGCAGCGGCCGGTGGCCGAACATTTCGGAGAAACCCAGTGGGCCAGCGCTAGCGCCGAGCAACCGCCAGTAGCCACAGTAGTACTCCGGAAACCGGCGGCGGCGGCGGCGTGTGTGTGTGGCCCGTGTGCGGGCGGCGGCGCGGGAGTAGCGCGGAGAGGCAGCCGGTTCGGGCGGGTGGCATCATGGACGAGAAGGTGTTCACCAAGGAGCTGGACCAGTGGATCGAGCAGCTGAACGAGTGCAAGCAGCTCTCCGAGTCTCAGGTCAAGAGCCTTTGCGAGAAGGTGAGCTGCACTCCAGCTGCGGGAGCTGCCGCGGAGCTAATCTCGCCGAGAAGGGGTGGCTGTGGGGAGGGTGCAATATGGCGGAGGTCGCCGGCCCAGAACCCCCGAGCTTCCCAGTCGGGCGCCCGGCGCGGCCCGGCTGCGGCTGCCGAGCCACCCGGCGCCCCTGCCTCTCGCGCAAGGATTGGTTGTCGCCGCCGCCTAAAATGGCGCCGTTCCCCCGACTCAGGGGGTTCTGAGCCTCCCGGCCTTGGCGCTGGGCGGGGTGGTAGGGGGAGCTGAGACCCTGTATGTCAGGGTCGGGGACAGTTTTGAGATTCAGGTAGAGAGAGTTGGGTTCTGGGGCTCGGGAATGGGGCCTAGGTCTCCACCGTGAGGTGGGTAAGCGGCTTTTTACTTGTCTTCAGGCATAATTCTTAGATCAGCGTCGTCCAGAGAATCCCTAAAGGCAAGTAAGTAGGCCAGATCCCAGGACCTGTCTAAAGGTCACAGAGTTTTAGTGCTATCCTGGGTGGTTTGTATTTAATTTATCAAGCGATTTTCTCTAGAGGCCTATTCAAAGTGTATTTTTAAGACATTTTACATAAATCTCTAACCCAGTTTCAACGAAGGTCATGGCAATTATGGGGAGGAGTAACCAATTCTTCGTAGTTGGAAGAAATGAAGAATTTGGTGAGTCACACTACATAAGGAGCTATTGGATTGGAAATCAAGTGATTTATGATTTATACACTGACTCAAACTGGGTAGTGTGAACCTTTTCCTAAGCTGAACATAGTTGGCATTTTGCCATTTATTTTTAAAATGATAAACTAGAAGGGCGGCAAGTTGTATACCCTGGCTCTTTTTTGAAAAAGTTGCTTGATTGTATTTCTGTGGCTGCAAGTAGTAGTAGTAGTAATAATAGCTGTTGATTGAGCTCTTACTGTATTCCAGACACTGCTTAGTGTGTAAATAAATAATTTATCTTACAGATGTTGAAAGTGAAATGTTGTAGTCTGCTTAATAACGTTAAACTTTAATTTTATACTAATTGTTTTGTTTTTCCTTGGGTATTGGGGAAACAGGTAGCCTAATGGATTATCTATTAGCTATTCAGTTGTATTGTATTTTTAAAGTCTTACAACCCCGTTTTCTAAGGTATAGAAAATGCTGATCTCTATGAACATTTTAACTTCTCTTTTCAAAATTACCTTTGCAGCATTTCATTTTAGTAGAGAACTGTGCGATATCACATTAGTATTTTGTGTTAGTGAAAAGAGTTATTGGAGAGCTATTATACTGACTCGTTTGTGGTTTAATGTGTAAATTAGGATCATGAGTTTGATGTATATGCTCCCAAGACAGACTTTTTCAGAAACTGTGCTGTGAATAATTGAAATTTAAGTGAGTCAAATTTAGATTTATTTATCCCAAGCCTGGGCAAAACTCCATTACTAGTTGATGAGGTGGCACGTCAGCTATTGGAGCTGAATTTTAATGGGTAGCAGTATACTGAATCTTTTGCTTCTTGACCCTTAATTTTAAAGCTCTTGTATTAAATAAGGTTGGTATTTATTTTAAAGGTTTAAAGATTAGGTTTTTAAAAACTTACCGTATATTACCAGGTCTTAATTTCTAGTTACTATAAATGATCATTTTATGAACTTTTAAGGTTCAGTAGTTGCTCTTATAAAAACTTTGCTAGATGACTAGTCATTTGTGTCTAGATGACTAGTCATTTGTGTAGAAAACATTGGAGAGAGGCAGTGATGTCATTGAAAGACCACTGGACTGCGAGTTAGACCTAGATACTAGTCCTATTTCTGCCACAGAATTAGTAGTTATGACTGACCTTGGAGCAATCAATTCACTTGATCCTCATTTTCCTTTGTATAAAGAGTTAAAACAGATGTTCTAAGGTCCCTTCTAATCTAAGATCGTACAATTTCATCATAAGTTAGTACTTTGTGTTTAAGTATTTAAGATTTATTGAGTATCCAAGATTGCTTACTCTTATGAGGGGAATGGAAAGCAATGAAGAAGGCCTGTTTTCAGGGAGCTTTGAATTCAGTTGGAGAGACAAGCATGGTATGGAAATCGGTAAGGAGATGGACCGTGGAAGTAGAGGGGTTGTGTTGGAGACAAAAGTGGGGTGGTAAGTGTTGTTTTTCACATTTTTGTAAACTAAGGTATAGTGAGGCTAATCACTTATTCTCAGATCTTCATTGCTTAGCTTGTTCAGATTTTAGTTCTGACAGCCAAAAAGATGGGCATAATATTAGAAGTTAGGTATTACATAAAGGTTTCCATGGAATGGATCCTTTTTTGGGGAAGTACCAGTACACAGTTATCATACTGTTGTTAACTTGTAAGTACACCATCTTTTTTGGAACTGTATTGACCTTCCAAAGTAAATTAATTTGAAGACAGCTTTTTATGTATGTGGGATGAGTTAGGATGTATGACTTGAAATGGACTTCTGTATAATCTAGTAAAACAAAAGCTCTATTTTTAGTGTTAGCATTTGTATGGTCTGGTGACACAGTGGTTAAGAGCTGCAGCTGCTAACCAAAAGGTCGGTAGTTCTAGTCCACCAGGCACTCCTTGGAAACCCTATGGGGCAGTTCTGTTCTGTCCTTTTGGGTCGCTCTGAGTCAGAATAAACCCCATGGCAACAGGTTTGGTTTTTGATTTTTTTTTATTTATATGACCAGTAGCACCACTGAGTGAAAGCTATATGATACTCTTCAATGTGGTGGCTTCTAAATAGGAATTTTACAAATCTTGAGGGTTTGGTTCCCCCCCCCCCCATTACAATAATAGTTTTTTAAAGGTTCTTGTTAGAGATAAACCAAAAAAACCCATTGCCGTTGAGTTGATTCCAACTCATAGTGACCCAGTAGGACAGAGTAGAACTGCCGCGTAGAGTTTCCAAGGCTGTAATCTTTAGAAAGCAGACTGCCACATCTTTCTCCCATGGAGCAGCTGACCTTTTGGTTAGCAGCTGAGTGCTTTAACCACTGTGCAACCAGGGCTCCTATTAGAAATAACTATTTGATAATAGCTGATACTTTCTTTGATTATAAGAAGGAATGATAATATGAAAACTGCCTTCTCACCTGAAGATGCCTGATCTGAGTGAGACATTTAAAATTAAATAGTTGAGGTAAAACTATACTGTAAGAGGTCATTCTGCTAAAAAATGCTGAGGCCATTATTATGGTATGCCATCACGAATTAACAGTGGTAAGTGTACAAAATGGAGAGAACCCGAATGTGTATTTATAGACAAAGGTGAGTATGGTTTTTATGTTACTGAGTAGTCAAAAAAAATTTTTTTTAAGATATAATTGAGACTTACATTGAAGCCAAGTTATTTTGTGTGCAGTAAACCTTGTCATTTTGGGGTTCCTAATTTGTAGATTGTTTAAAAACTTGTGGTGAGTGAATGCAGTTTTGTCTCAGGCACCATTCTATAGTCAATAGCATTATTAGTGTATCTGTATAACTATCCTGCTTTGTTTCCATCTACAGATTGGAAGTAGTAAATAGTATCAATTTGCTTTTGAGTTAATTGCAGTAGATAAACAGTCTTTTATAGTATGACTTCAGCAGTGGTTTAACTTAGATATGATTTTTGGCTTTGTGCTTTCAGGTCTTTCCAATCTTGTAGAGAATGTTGTTTGATAGCCAGAATTTTTTCAAAGGAATTCGTTACCTAGGTATGCTGTTTTCCATTGCTATACAAGCTCTATAAATAAAATACAGCCATTAAGGCTTTACTTAGTTTTAACATTTGTTATATGAGTATGGAAAAAGCAAATGGCTTCTTAATTTGATGAGCTGGAAAATATTTTGACCAAGATTAAATTCCTGTATGAAGTGGGTAATATATTTGTGTGTGTTTAATTAAAAAGATTGGCTCATTTCCATAAAAGTAATTTGAAAATTGTCAACAAACAGGTGGGGGAGGCATATTACAGAATATTATTTTCATGATGCTTTGACATACATAATTCTCTTAACAAGCTTGTGAAACATTTATTGTTCTAAGTTTTAAGATTGAAACCAGAATCCCAGAAAGATAAAGTGACTTGATCATAGTGGCTAAAATTGAGTTTCCCAGGCTTCTCAATTCTAAGTATAGTGTTGTAGACATGCTTCACAGTCCCTTTGCTGAGGTAGTGTTAATCATGAAAAAGTACAGGTAAACTGGAACCAGATTGAACTGGGGAATCAACAATTCTATAAAATGAAGCATTTTTTTTATCCTTATTGCTTGAAATCTTCCTACTCATGTCACATACTGTTGTCCACTTTGTCGTGGAGGAGGAAACAGTAGTTATTTTTTAATTTGGATGTGGCTACATTTGCCCCTCCAATAATATTTGTGAGATGAAAATCCCAGTTCATTTTCTGTGTAGTCTTAGATAGTGTAAATCATGATCTAGAGACTGAGCTCTGTAATATCATATTGTTCATTACAGCTTATGAAATGCCTTTTTGTTTTTTTTCATCCTCATAGCTTCCACAGTCAAATCTGTTCATGTGTGTTAGTTTTTCATGATCTCCAAGGCATGAAGCAGTAATACAGTTGGTTTTGGATTGAGTTAATGAGAATACAGATACGCAAATCCTCCAGTCCCCTTTGTCTTCTCCAGCAGGACCAAGAGTTCTGTGTCTGCAAAAATTGGCAATAGGGCCAAGATGAAACTCATGCTATAGAAAGAATGATGGGCACTGGCGGAATATACGAATGGGACAACATTTGTATTACCAGTTCGGTGCCCCCCTTCCCCCACCCCCCACCCCACCGAGTTTTATGGCAGCTGGTCTTTTTCCCTATCTCATTGTATTCAAGTTTGTTAGAGTTACCTGTGGGACATCTTTTGCCCTGGTGGCGCAGTGGTTATGAGCTCAACTGCTAACCAAAAGGTCAGCAGTTCAAATCTACCAGCCACTCCTTGGAAACCTTACAGGGCAATTCTGCTCTGTCCTGTAGGGTCACAATGAGTCGG